ATTAGAAACCCAAAGGCTTGAAAATACATGTTTACAATGAACGTTTACCGTGTATTACAAATAATTTAGGCAACTAATCCCCCTTTTTTTCCACAATTTCATAACTTTCCAGGTCTTATACAAAACCTGCCTTTATACTTGTGGTAATGATGTACCTCACCCTCACCCTAACATAAACAAAAGTAGCTTGTGGTTAAATCTAGTTCCAATAATTTATTAGTAGCAACCTTTATTGTACTTTTCTTTACATTACTTTTTGGTATCTAGAGGTTAGCCACTCAAAAATACATTTAATTTAATTTTATCCACTAAATAATACGTCTAGAAGTGATGAAAATTTAATAAAAACATTATGTTCGTCACTTATCCAATCCATTAAAATATCTAATGTACAATACATTTGAAATGTTTTATATACAAAAACTTTAAAACACTTTGGCAATAGAGATTGTGTTTAATTCATAACAGGTGATTTTAATTAATTGTACATAATTTTTGAAGTTTTAATTAATTCTAAATAATTTTTTATATTCTAGTCATTCTTGATAGAGCAACTCGGCTCTTGGTATAAACGTACGTTTCTTGGTCGGTACAAATCCAGGATCCATGCACGATTCAAATTCCTTAAGACTGAGAAGCCAATCAGAGTCTGAATCTGTAGATTCTATGATTGCATCAATACACAGAGCACTACATGTTAAAAAAAAGGTTAAGAACATAAGATAAAACAAAGAGGTCACACCTTGCTCACAAAACATCAAAAAATATGTTGGTTATATTCAACTAGCTTTTCATGTGCTTAAATCTACCTAACAGCATAAATCACATCAGCAGGAAAAACTATTCTATAAGTTTATAACTCTAAAAGATTTTGTTGAAGAACAAGTGAGTGTGTGGGCCTTCACAGCTCAACCCTTCATATTTAACTTTGTATTTCATTCTACCACTTAAATATACACAAAAGAGAAAATGTTGTCTAATCATCTGAATTTAAGTCCCTACTAATTCTACTATACTCGAGGAAAAGCAACTCTAATCCCGTCAACACAGCTTAAGTTACTAGCCAGGTATGTATCATTCAGTAACTCATATCCTTCTACAAACTGCAGCAGTTATAAGTGTTTGGTACAAAATATAATCCCTAATAGATACAGCAATGAGTGGTATACTTGGAAAGTTTGAATAACAAAAATGTTAATAAGTCATGACAAAGGATGATCAAACCTTCAAGGAACAGTAAAATTTAGAATTTTCTTTTCCTGGAAAGAAACAACAACAACAACAAAAAAGAAGAGAATAACATTTACTGTGTAAGTAGTCAGTGCTAGATTAGGCTACAGTACGGTCAGTACTGACCGTACTGTAGCCTAATCTAGCACTGACCGTACTGTAGCCTAATCTAGCTACTGACAGTACTGTAGCCTAATCTAGTCTGCTAGATTAGGCTACAGTACGGTCAGTGCTAGATTAGGCTACAGTACGATCATTGCTAGATTAGGCTACAGTACGGTCAGTGCTAGATTAGGCTACAGTACGGTCAGTGCTAGATTAGGCTACAGTATGGGTTCTACATTTCTTATGTGAATACACATTTAGATTCTCTAGTCTATAAAGTAAAAATTGCAGCTTTTGTAACCAAGGTATATTTTTGTAAATTACTATCTTCTTTAATATACTTACATTTACAAAGTGTACTTGAATAATCATAACAACTGTCAGAAACTACTCAAACCATATGACTCCTATAGCAGGGAGTCCTCCCTTAGCTCAGCAGTAACTCTCTGGACTTATGATTCTAAAAATCTGGTTTTGATACCCGCAGTGGGCACAGCACAAATAGTCAATTTGTGATTAACAATAAACAAACCAAAATCCATAGCAGGAGGAATAATATTACAGATACAAATATAATCCAGCCCAAGAACACTGAAGCGACTGATTAACTACTTTATAAACTGTGATAACTGATTTATCAATTTAAATAGAGTAGAATAAGATATAAAAAACATTGAAAGTATACTAAAATGTTATAAAAAAAGTAAGTTTATAAAATTATCCTGAAAACTGATATAATAAAAAAATGTATATACTTAACACAAACATACAACTGTTACATCAATAAATCACCACTCTTAAATACTCTCACATGAAATGTTGTTTTACTGTTCTTCTGTTTACCAAACACAAAACATACAACTGTTATATCAGTAGGTCACCACTCTTAAATACCCTCACATGAAATGTTGTTTTACTGTTCTTCTGTTTACCAAACACAAAACATACAACTGTTATATCAGTAGGTCACCACTCTTAAATAGTCTCACATGAAATGTTGTTTTACTGTTCTTCTGTTTACCAAACACAAAACATACAACTGTTATATCACTAGATCATCACCATAACCTTCTCGCACATGAAACACTATTTTATTGTTCAAGTTTACCAAAAAGAAACAAAACTGTTACCTCACAAGATCAGCATTGTCCCCATCTCTCACGTGAAATGCTGTTTTATTGTTCTTCACACATTCCATAAACTCTGTGGCATCCAAAAGATCATCATGGTCTGCATCACAAAGTTGGAAGATTTCTTCAATTACTGTTTTGTATGATTTTCCTGAGCTGAACCATCCTTCTTCCTCAACCTGAAAACAATAACTGAAAAAGGTTTAATCTTTTACTTGATTAACAATTTACATAACATACAGAGTTGTCACAAAAAAAGTGAGGTTTACTTTTTAAGTTTAAAGTGTACATTTTCTCCAGAAAACTCTGTTTGCTAGAGTCTCACTTCCACGTGTAATGAAACTGACCTAAAGAATTACAGATAACTGAAATAACAATATTTTCATTATATCAGAAACTAAAGTAAAAATACTCCTTGTAATTCATTGAAAAATATGCTAAGAAAATGTAAAATGATCTTTATAACTGATAATCATACACATTTTACATTATATGCTACAATAGTATAGTTCAGTCTCTTTAAATAAATTACTTGTAAGGTAATATATCCAAATTTAATTTTCATTAATCTAACAACATAATGTAATAAAATTTGTCTTTTCATAAATAATACTCTATTATTTGATTTACATCGAATTACAATTACGCCTCACCTCACCTTAGTTTGTAGCCAATCAATAATTAGTTGTCTCATCAAGTCTCGTTCATTCTGAAAACATACAACTAATAAACAAAACAATATATTAGTGTTGTCATACAATATTTCTGTTTGAAGCATATATTTACTCACAGTGCTGTGTAGAATAACATGGAGTCTCAAATAATGAATAAAATTGGATATCATTCTTTTATATATATCAGGAGTAACTAGTCTATCAGGCAGTTTGATTTATACACAATATTAATCAGTGTTTTTATTTTGGCAACATTATCAGAGTGCTTGTGAAAAATAAAATAGCCATTTGACGGCTATCTGCATCCACAATTTGGAAATGATGAACTAGAGGGATGGCAATTAATCAACACCACCCACTACCAACTCTTTTGTTACTCTTTGCCAACAAATAGTGAGCTTGTCCATAACATTATAATGCCCTCACAGCTGAAAACAGGAGCATGTTCGGGATTCAAACTTGCAACCCTCAGATCACGAGTCAAGTACCCTAACAAACAGGACATCAATGCACATCAACATAATAAATCAGTGCACATCAACACAATAAATCAGTGCACATTAACACATAAGGTGGAGAAAGGAAGGAGAGGCAAAAGCAAAGACGAGGCTATAAGTGAATCTAGACAAACCTCTCAACAAATGCCATCCTTTCAGAGTGGGCTAAGATCTGTAAATCCAATGCCTTAAGATCAAATTTTCACTGGTCAGGCACCAAAAAATCTACCCAGCCAGTGCCCAAGATGTTACTTAAAGATTCTGAAGAAAAACACCTGAAAAAATAATAAATAAAAAGACAAAAACTAGAGATTGAGTGTAAATGTTATACTTAGATTTGTAAATCTGAGAGGCTATAGTAAGCTAAGAAGTCTCCCAGAAAGTTTGTCAGCTTCCCAAAGACTGGTGTGAGCTCCTTATTGATGTTTTTTTTTCAAATCTTCTCTAGTATCAGGTGGAAGGCTTCTGGTGGTATATTTATCTGCTCGTTAGCATAGTCAGTAGCATGCTCTTCTTCTTCAGATTTCACATTTGTAGAGATGTATGTTTATGTGTGCTTGTTCTTATGCTTGGTAACTGTCTGCATTGAGCAAGTATACTGGCCAGGATTATTGGGCTTTCTGAAAGGATGAGTGATGGTAGTTACAGTTTGGGCTTCTGTCTGGTTGGTTTGTTCTTTGAGGGATCCTGGGGTGGTGGCCTGACATGTAGGTTGGGGTTGTGGTCTGTATAGAGGTGTTCTGTGAAAGTAGGTACTTTTCTTGCTGTGACGTTTTTTGGCCCTGAAATGGAAAAAAATACAAGAGACAACCATTATTAAAAATGAATTTGGCTGTCTTGAAAAATGTTACAACTTTCTTGAACTTCATCAGCTCTCCAGTTTTTCTGGATCTGATCCTGTGAACAGCATAGATTATGTTATTGGTGTTCATTTCCAGAGACTGCTTTATCTCCTGATTAGTGATGGAAAGGTCCACCTTCCTCAGGAAGACCATAAAGAGACTGGTTCTGCTCCGTTGAGGTCAACATCCAACAGGCAGCTAGAAGTTCCATGGTGAACACAAACATTTGAAGTCTTCATGCAACTGGGGCTGAATAAAGATACTATCCTGGTGCAAGAGCTTGGTTTTCTTGGTGTGATTCTGGCTTTGGGTTTATATTTTGTGATGAAGTCATAAATATGGTGAATAGCATACTTTTTAGTTAATAATTGAAACAAAGCAACAATTATTTAAATGCTTCAGATTTCAAGATGAATTTTTAACTTCAGTTTAGACTTTAAAAAACTATTTCTTTACTGATTAATTATGTTGATGTGCATTGATTTATTGTGTTAATGTGCACTGATTTACTCTGTTGATTTGCACTGATTTATTATGCTGATGTGCACTGATTTATTATGCTAATGTGCACTGATTTATTGTGTTGATGTTCACTGATTTACTGTGTTAATGTACACTGATTAAGTATGTTGATGTGCTCTGATTTATTGTGTTAATGTGCACTGATTAATTATGTTGATGTGCACTGATTTACTGTGTTAATGTACACTGATTAATTATGTTGATGTGCACTGATTAATTATGTTGATGTGCACTGATTTACTGTGTTAATGTGCACTGATTTACTGTGTTAATGTACACTGATTAATTATGTTGATGTGCACTGATTAATTATGTTGATGTGCACTGATTTATTGTGTTAATGTGCTCTGATTTACTTTGCAGGTAAACAAACATATATACATATTTAGGTATGTACATGTTTACTTTGCAGGTAAACAAACATATATACATATTTAGGTATGTACATGTTTACATACTTTTTTCCTCTAAATTTATATATTTTTTTTAATACTACCATTACAATTGACCACTGTATAAAACTTATCACAAGCGGGGCAAAGGGAAATATTACAGTCATAAATATCATAACTATAAAATAATGTTTTTCTCAGACACGGGTTGTTGCTTAAAGGAAACTGACAAAACTATTTTGAAAACATAAATAAAAGATTAAAGACTGAATAAATATATCCTCACATACTTGGTTTCTCGTGATCCTCTGCCTTCTTCTTATGGTGCTTACCTGAAAATACCAGTTATTGTACATTTATTCAGTAAACTCATATTCTTCTCCTATACAGATAAAGATATACAAAGACCAATACTGTGAATTAAACTAACAACTGAGAAAATCCTTGGGCACTATTGCCTTCACACCTAACATTTTGATATGAAAAACAGCCAAAACAAAAACATGCAAAGCTACATGTTCTTGAAAAAAAATTACATAATCCACACATTACACTGTAAAAAAATCAATGTACATGGCTTCATAGCAATATAAAACAGAGATAAACAAACCATACTGCAGTGTTATACAACAGTAAAATAATAGTTGTCAAAAAATCACAATTGACATGAGCTTTCCCTAGTGGTGATGTATAGATATTAATGTTATGAAAGATTATGTACATTTATGGTAATAGCTAGTCACATGAGATGTAACCTCATGGTCTAACCACTAAATAAAATGCCATCCTTGATCTTAAACGAGTTAGTTCACGAGTTATAGTTAGAATTATTGGTAATTATTGCTTGATATTGTTCTTGTTCGTGAAAATTGGTTTAATTTTGGAATATTGTAATTTTTTCAGAATTAGGTTTTTTCTTCTGGTTCTTTTTCCTAATTCCTTTATTTAATGAAATTAATAACACTGAGATTTATGTTGTATTGTTTATTAATATTTGTATCAAGTTCTTCCCAGCCATGGGTTTCCTAATTGATTTTTTGAAATAAAATTTCTATTCTAGTTGCTGGAAAGTTTAATTTTGGATTTCTGTTGTTGTTACATCTTAATAAATAGTTTTTTATTTGACCCTGGTTGTAGCAGCATTTGTTGTAGTCTGTTACAGTTTTATTTTGTTGAATAGGATAACTGGTTTATGGGATGAGCTACCATCCACAAGAGTTTAATACTCCAGGAACCAATGCTTTCTTGAAAAATAATAGGTAGGTTTAAACTGTTACTTTTTAAGAAATTTACAACATAACTTTTCATAGTAAATACTAATGTAAAATACTGTTATTCTTTTAATATTTGTATATCATTATACCACAAGAATACATAAAAATCTATATACATTTAACATTTTACTATGTAAATAATTTTTCCAGTTTAGTGTACATACACCATTATGTTATATTGATTTAGCTTTTTTTTGCTCTCCCCACCAATCATTGAGTAAATTGACCTGAAACTTTAATGTAGATTGAGTAAAATGACATGATGCTGTGTGAATAAAGTAATATTTAGTGTAGATTGAGTAAACTGACATGATGCTGTGTGAATAAAGTAATATTTAGTGTAGATTGAGTAAACTGACACGATACTGTGTAAATAAAGTAATCTGTAGTGTAGGTTGTGTACACTGACACAATGCTGTGTGAATAAAGTAATATTTAGTGTAGATTGAGTACACTGACATGACTCTGTATGAATTAAGTAATATTTAGTATAGATTGAGTACACTGACATGACTCTGTATGAATTAAGTAACATGTAGTGTAGATTGAGTACACTGACATGACTCTGTATGAATTAAGTAATATTTAGTGAAGATTGAGTACACTGATATGACTCTATGAATTAAGTAATCTGTAGTGTAGATTGAGTACACTGACATGACTCTGTGAGAATAAAGTAATATTTAAAGTAGATAATTCAAAGAAAACGCCCAGTGTACATGACGTAAGCCAAAAATAAAGTACAGAGATAACTAATAAAGAAAAATACGGATATGCAAAATGAGCAAGGTGATAACGATCGAATAAATCACAATGTTAAAAAAAATAGGAAGAAAGTTATAAGAAATAAGGAATATATGTGTTTTTTTATAAATCGTTAAAACGCCAAGTACATGTGAGTAAACATATATCATGTAAGGGACTGCAGATGACTCACCCTTTTTACAGTAGCCATTATGTTTTATGGAGATATGAGAACCCCTTACGCAGGCGTCGCGATGTAGCAAACAGTGGCTTTCGTAGGACACGCCGTTGGATCCGCACACTGGCTTGTGGTGGTCTGGACAGGTTTCGACACAAACACACGTTGGAATTCCATTATCGAGCACTTTACATTCACGGCCAGACTTGCATATTATAGCATCACAAATCCCCGGTTCACTTTCTATTCAAAAAATAAATAATATTGTGATACAACTCAATCATATCTTGGGAAAACGATTTTTTATTTTCTTTGCGAATATTAATTCCAAACATCGACGATAGAATATTTATAACAACCGAGATAATTCATCAAAAAACAACAATTTGTTACTGATGACTTTTGAAAATTTTCTACGATTAATTTGGATTCATACTAGATGACGGATTTTCCATATGATGGTTTAATTGTTTTGTTGTTAACCTACACGATAGGCTTTCTGTGTTTTGTTCACTGCAAGTATCGAATCTCAATTTTCAGCGCTATTATTTTTTGAAGCACTGTTTCGATCTAATTCAATATATCAAGATACTTTTTTGGCCCATCTGATTTTTCAAGTAAGTATGAAGTTAAGAAATACTTGATGATATTTCTGTTATAATTGATTAAATCTGTTAATTAAATCAACATTAAAAATATAAGATGAAAGATATATGCGTGTATTCCTGTAGTACTTCTACTGATAATTTGTTTGTTTTAATGTTAATAAATTAAGTAATACAAAAAACAACAACAAATAATGCGAAACGAATAAAATCTCATTTTTTATGCAACACAAGTTTAACCATTAACTGCTACTACAAAGTTAAAATTTGTTAAATTAATCACGAGCTAATATTGATTCAGTT